ATCACGATATTGGCTGGAGAAAAGGCTGTTAAAAAAGGATCTTCCGGAACATGTAAGGTGAGTAACTTGTGTTCCAAAGATGAATAGTCAAAGCACTTATGTCATTCAACTGGCCTGTCGATACACACTACCTCTTGATGTCTGAAACTGTAAAAGTCTGGTTTTGAGTTTTTTGGTTGCCTTCTTCCCATTATGTTTGGATTTGTCTTTGAGCAAAGGACACCCCTGATTTACCTAGATTGACTGGATGACGAGGTGGGCGGATGGCCTGACAGTTAAAGACCCAAAATAAAAAAAAATTGCGGTTCATATGAGTGCAGTTGAAATGAGCAACAGAAAGACGATTCGAAGTGGCAGTTTGCCCAAAGGTTCAATATACACCGTATAAACAGCACCTCAAATCAACAGTACATCCGTCCTTCTTTTCTTTTCATCAATATAGTTTCTGAGCCTCTGTTCCGAAACGATTGAAGAATAAAAAAGGCCAGAATACGGGAAGCTAGATTAATTTGCGTAAGTAGATCACATACTAATGTACAAATGCTGTAAAACAAAACTAATACAACTATGAGTTTTCTCTCGAAGTTGTTCCACACTGTCAATAATTTCTTGCCTTTTTCTCAAGGTTTTCGGCGAATGCAGTTTGTCTTTTCTCTGTCACGCGTTTTTAATAAACATGTTGTAATAAGCATGTGTTGTGTCATTCTTCCTGTAGCTAAGCATGGCGGCTCCCAATACAAAAACCCCATGCTCTCCGAAGAAGACGTTTTATTGGAACTTTATGTCATTCAGAAACGGATGTGAGGAGGCCGGCCCATATTGCAGGGGGTGGCAGGTCACGTACCTTTATGACCTAGTGAGCTATACCAGGGGATCTCATTCGAATACCCGAGGAGTTTCTCGTAGTATTTTGTTTATTGAATGGAGGTTTGACCAACGCAGTCTCCTGATCCCCCAGATTAGGGGTTAGGAAATCTCTGGCGAATATTTACTTAGAAAATCTGTGCTAATGTAGTAGTATGCGGGCAACCATATGCAGCTTTTCTGCAATGCTTTTGAGCTACAGTTTTCAGCTAGGGGGGGGGCGGTCGTCCTTTTGTCTAGGCGACCTGACTGTATCCAAGACCACGTACAGCCATGAAGTCACAACCAAACTACTCTCATACCACACCTGCCGTGGCGTGGCGCCGTTCACCGGGTATCCTTACTTGCTACACACAGCGGGATGAATAATCCAGCACATGCTACCAACGATACCCCCTTTTCTCTCATTTTCATGTATTCCCTCCTCCACACTTACGAATCATCATTTAAGTACTCTTTCTCCGCCCGTCCCAGCACTAAATGTGACTTCTTTGTTAACCGTGCATGACGCTCAGCTGCAGTTATGTGAGCCCGACTTCAGGGAAAACCCTAAACACCTTGAAGTCTGCTTTCAAACCCTGAAAGCCGGTCTGTTTAGCTGCCTTTTATGTTTTCACACTGAAGCAAGTGGATAGCAAGCTGAATTTGCTCGTACTCTGCCAAATTGTACATTGTCGCAATAAACTCTGATGGTTTGAACGGGAGAATAGAGTGACGGTATTTCTTTCTGGGAGATGTAAGTTTGACGTCCACATCAACACTTGACCGGCAGGTGTCCTAGTGTGTCACCACATACCTAATTTTCAAGAAGCGAAGCCAAATAAACAAACAAACAAAACTAGTAAAAGAGCTTTGTGCGAAACGCTACATCAGAGCGTCTGATCAATGGGATGGTATCACTGGCTCCGAATCCTCGTACACAAACAATAGGGCGGTTCAAAATTAGATTTACTTGACAACCTACATCAGTGCTACCGAGTGAAGTCGCTTCAACTGAGATTAGAATAGGCACAAATTTTTCGCATATTTGCAAGCAAAGATCGATAAGCTTTTCGGCCGGTCGCCAGGCTTGGCAACTGTTTTTGTTGCTTGAGAACAAAATCGTTGGTTTAGTTAGGTTTCTGGCTCAAATTTATGGGCCAATGTGGCGACAGGCTGGTCGGTCTAATTAGGTAACAGGGTTATCACAAAACTAGTACGAATGGTGAATCCGTTTTCACACCAGGTTGCTTCTGTGCTGTTCACGGAAAATAAATTCGTTTTGTCCTTTCTCTTAAACTTTTGTTGACACAGTCTACTTTCATAAATACTCTGACATTTGAATACATTCTCGGTGACAAAGGTAAAAGACGTAAGTCAGTAATCACCAATACCTGAGGGTTCGTCACCAGAACACCGCTGTATTCAAAACGTTGCACATTTCGGACAACCGGAATAATACATCTGTTCGGATGGCAGGTAGTTTTTTTAACTAGTATGCCATTTTTACGAAAGTGCACCTTTGGATAGATGATTTTCAATTTCTCCTTAAAGTACAAAAATACAAACTTCTAAACGGGGTAAAAAACGCATGAAATTTAACAAGTAGTAGTAAATCAAGAAGGCACTGGACTCTTGGGATTTTATGGGCTCGGTTTTCACGTGTGAGTCGTTCCTAGGGAGTATGATGTTGCTACTGCGACCCCCACTATATTTGCTTCACTCAAGTCACGAGGCTACATCTCTCCACCTAACTGTGTGTGTGTTCACCTGATACCACGGGCTGACTATTTTATGGTGGTTGTCCTGTATATCCACTCAAGATGCAACTAAACACAACAGAATCCAAACAGGATACTGCGATGAGAAACTCATCCAAATCTCTCCCAACATATAAAACCCTGCCGGTCTGAAAAACAACTATTGAACACACGGAAGACATTCAAAAGTTTCCGAACGAAAATTTCACTCCGTAAGACATTGTAGTGTAAACTAAATCCCTCCCAACATATAAAACTCTGCCGGTCTGAAAAACAACTACTGAACACTGTAGTTCTCCTTGGAAGACATTCAAAAGTTTCCGAACGGAAATTTCACTCCGTAAGACATTGTAGTGTACTGCATATGCTCGTCGATATCAGGTGATGTAACGAAGGAACCCAGGATAATCGAATTCCAAATCTTCAAGTTTTTGTGTTACCGCAGGACAATTCGTCATCCTCCACCAACTATGTTTCTTCGTGAGCAGCATTTGATCAGCCTGAGGCGGTCAGGACCATGGAATTTCATATAAGTATACTAGTGTCCTTCTTGCAGCTTAGGCAGTTAGTACAGTGAGAAATTGGAACTTAAGATAATGAATGATTTTCAAAATACTAGTGAAAGGAGGAAAGCCGTTCGCCGCGGGGTCGCTTATTAGAAAACACCAAACTAAACGGTTACAAACTATTGGACAGGAAAGTAAACCTCTCATATGCACCTTGTTTTAAAAACATCGAATAACCTCTTTTTATTGAACCAGTCTTCTTGAGCTTTCCTGAATATCCATTAACTATCACACAATTGTAAACGAATACTGCCAAGTAGTTCCACAAATTCCTGTAATAAACCCCACTTTCCATCAGAAACAATGCGGAGCTATGGGAAAAGCGCATACTACTCAAATGCCCCATCGGTAGTATCCGCCGTTACACTAGCAGACCAGTGGACAGCTATTAGCCAATTGGAATAGTTGCGGAAGAAACACCCTATTGTCAACTCTGTCGTATTAGGTTGTTCCGTCTTTGGAGATCACGGTTGTGTTTCTGCCTTGTTTTAACCAGTATAACTTGGCTTAGCAATATGGTACCTCAGTCACTAAGACTTGAGCAACAAAAAGTTTGGTCGCTTATTAGACCAGCTCAGCAGTTAGAGCTAATATATTTGGAGTCCTGTGGTCTAAAAGCTGCATCTGCTCTGATTGTGGTGTATCAGATTAAGTCAGTGAAAGAATCTTTTAGGCGCTTGCTAATTTGAGACACAGAGGGATAACCCCGAATACCTAGGGGTGTGTGCGTCAGGCAACCTTACGGCCTGTTTTGTTGTGTGGTTGTGAGCAGCTGAAATGAGATTTTTCAGTTATTTAACAACCATTACGTAAGAACCATAGTTAACTTAGGCGATTCTGCAACAAACCAACTAGAATACGAGTGTTTTGTTGTGAAACGGGGACCTCAACTGAAGAAAACCCCCGAACACCAAAAGCTGCGTTGATTCGGTCATGTGTTGAACATGCTAAGACGTCGTTTACCGAACGAGGTTCTGTTTTTTTGTGTCCATTTTAGAGTGCGGCAATCAAATAGGTGGTTAACCTTTGACCTGCCATTGGAAAATAAAACCGATTGCAACATTTCTGAGCAAAATATGTGTAACTCTTCTGCCAGTCCCAGTTATTCCTTCCGTGTATGGGTATGGACGCTGCAAGATGTGGCCGCAAATCGAGGTCAGTGGCGTTCCTGTTCTCAGTTTCTATCCAGTTCGAATGAATGCCCGGTGCCGTGCAACCTCGATGGCACCGGTTGTGGTTAACTAGCACTAAGTCTCTTCCAGATACACTCTTATACCTTTCCTCACAATATGGCTTCCAGACCAAATGCGCTTGTATGGTGATGTTTGGAAATTGATGCTATGCTGTCTCTGGTCTGCTTTTGCACGAGCATGCGCAAGGGCTTGTGGCAAATGATTACTAGACCCATGCAGTGCACGTTGCGCCTATGCACGGTGCCCCACGTAATAGGCTAGACCATTTGGTATTTATAAGTAGATGTATCCGATAAAAACTGCTTCCAAAACACAAGGATAAATTTTCATCCTTCATTCTTATCTAAATAAATAAATAAATAAATAAATAACAATAAATGTATATTTCAAAGAAGAGAGGAATGTTCCCTGGACAGTAGTAATAATAACAGTTAAAACAATAATAATGCTAGCCCAGCTGCAACACTCTTCCGGTAAGAAAACACTAGGTCCAAGATACTACCATGTTGCCCAAGCCTGGAGAAAATACCGGGGATGGGTTCGAACCATGGACCTTCTGGTTCACGCCTTGATCAGTGAGCAGTCTGAAGCTCATGTTCAATAGAAGCTAGGGGTCACTTTGACAATAGACTTGTAAAATGGCTCGAAAATATCCACAAAACCCGATAAATTATGCAGCTTATAAATTAATTCATCTGAGACTCAAGGATTTCCAAATGTATTGACAAACTAATAAACAAGTCCGATCCACAGTGAAGAGGCAATTTTGTGACACGCTTGACCAGAAGCCCATTTCAGTAGGAAGATCGATAATTTATTCGCCTCAACTTAGAGTTGAAGAACGATGGAACTAAATTGAACAGGTCTTATGGAATGTGTTTAGAACATGTTCATGAATGCTAGGATTTAGTTTGATTTATTTGCATTCTGATGCAGTTATTTATCCCTAAAAAAGTGGAAACAGTGAACTTGCTCCTATCGGAGTCAATTGCCAAACATACCCCTGAAAAACCATTCCGGTTACTTTAGGTAACGGCGCAGCTTAGTTCTTTGTTTGATCCTGTGGCTCATGTTGTCGCAGTTTTGGAGAGAACTGAACAGAAATGCGATATGGCGTGTTCCATTAAAGATCGAACAGGTGGTGTGTTCATTCTTTTATACAAATAGCTCTGGAAAATACATGGGTAGAAACGATAATGTCGGGTTGTAAGAAGCCATCTTACCCAGTGAAGCTATCTGTTGGACCGGAATAATTGTTGACAAGGATCGTGAACAGTTGAGTGTTCCACTTTTCTGCTCTTTGGTCACACTTTTCCCCGACAAATACTATCAAATGAGCTAAGCCAAGAAATCCCTCTGACTGACTCTTGCAAACAATGAAGTTGTTAGAGGGATATCCAACAAAATCCTTTGTTTTTGGCTATCTTCAATTGATTGTGCTACACGGAGGCTAGCTCAAGTTTCACTCGCAACGATATACAGGCTATCATTGTAGCAAGTACATTATTTGGTGAGGAAAACTTTAGATGTCTTACTACCCTCATTCTGCGTTTCAGCAGCTAGGTTTTCTTCCAGAAATTTCATCCAAATGAGCACGTAGTGGAGGGCAGTTAGAGTTGAACATCCTTCTGTGAATTGAGGTGGGTTTAACGACAGAGTCAGCTGAACTTGAACTGAACTAGTCGCTTCTGAGTGTCTTCGGTTCCGCATGCTGTAGCCATGCGCTCAGGTCTACCTGGTGACCGCCAGCGTTGCGGTAGTTGGTAAGCCACATTGTAGCCAAATAATGAAGCCTTAAAGCCGATTATGCCGGACGATATGCGTAGTGGATTCATTTTTAGAATCTCCCACATATGCGGAATGTCTCCTCTGACAACCGACCTTAAGATTATTTGTTTACCTAATACCGGCTATTTTCGACCACATGACAAACAGGTTTTGTACTTCTAATTGCGAAAGAACGTCTGTTTGGAACCTCTGCACGGCCATTGGATATCCACTGCTGATGATCTCCAGTAAGATGGAGCCTCGAGTCCACTGCTTCTCCGATTCGGTGCTCGGGCTTACCAGAATAATCGCGTCAGTACAGGAGGACGACTATTCAAAGATGAAAGCAACTTACTTACAGATGAACTTAGGGTGTCCGACTCTAACGCTGTAGAGCCCCACAAAGCTTTCAGCAACAGGTAGACCGATTCTTATAAACGCTCACCAAGCATCTCCATCAAATTCTAATGGGTCATTTTCAAAAGATATTGCAACAAAATTAGACAGAATATCTGAAAATTTGCGTTCGACTCCAATTGTCAGTGGTCCATTAGGCAACATACACGTTTATGTTTGGGTTTGCTCTAGTGAAGTGGTTCTGTTTAACAAGGCATGTCCGCGATAATGTCTTGTTCATCTTCTTCCAAGTTCCTCCTTCTTTTGGGAGGTTTACTCAGCTTAGTTCATATCGCGTTGGTTCATGTCATCAGTTCCATTCCCCCAAAATGCAACACTTTTGAAAATTTACCACTGAGGCGAATGTTGGTAGGCCAGATTGCTCAGATATTCAGTGGTTTTTTTTGAGCTGGGTACTTCAACTACAAACATTCCATCTCCAAGCGAGGTGAAACCATCAATACGCCGGTAGGGAGAGAGTGAAGCGCCACGATGCTTGGGCAATCGCCAATGACGTCACCTCGTTAATGATTAAACGTTTGCAGCGAAACTGCCAACTAAGCGAACAAACCAACGACAACACTTGAGAATAAAAACTACCTGGAGATATTTCACAGATAAGTGATTTTGGAAAGTGCTTCAAGACTGAAAGATCTGAGATTCACGTGAAGACAAACCATACTACATGAGAACTGTATCTTTTCTGTATTTTTATTGAACTCAGCCCCTACCGGGAAAAACCCGATCTTAAAGAATCAAATCACCACCAAACTTCTGAGGTAATATGATATAATATAACAATAACATATAATATATATATATATAATATAATCGCTTTAGGAATAATTCGGAACACCTCTAACTTCTGTGAAGTGTGAAATTCTAGACAGCCTAAATAAACTGTGAGAAAACGTTGGGTCTGGTTCGCTAACTGCACTTCCTAAATTAACCTACGATTGACTGGCTGGTAACAGGTTTTCTATCCTTAAATGAATCTGTATTTATCAAGGAACGTTTAGGGGTTTCGATGTGGTTACACAAGGAAGCGACCGTTTGAGAGCTGAACATACATTTTTCACAAGTTAGAAGAACGAATTCTGATAATTCTCCAACAAATTAGAGCACAGCGCCAGGTTTAACAGAGATACGGCCGGTAAAGGGTTTTCTTCAAGCTAACCACAGGCTTAGTTGACTGTTATCATATCTTACTTGCAACAACTAAAACCGTTTGCTTGGTTTAATTTCGTGGCATAGAATGTCATTTAATTTAGCGAAATACACTCAGTTGCAAAAACCAATTTGATTTTGCGGGAGACTCACATGGAACCCAATTAAATCTCTCGTTTGTGATGTTTTAAAGCAACTGAATGTACTATACCAGGCTGGGGGGATGACGAACAGTTTTCAGCAACCTTATGAGTAGTGTATTACGTCTATACATGCATCGCGATATCTCGGATACCCTGTCATCTGAAACATGAGGTGGCCTAGTGCAGCACATTCAGTTGCTTAGAAACGCCATAACTGAAAGATTCAGCTGGGTTTTAGGCGAGTCAACAGCAAAACCAAAATGATTTGCAAATGATTGTATTTTGCTAATTTCGTGCAATTGTGGTTCAAGCAGAGCATGAGGCTGACGGAGATTTGGGGATTGTGCCTTCCTGGTAAGCCCCAAGAAGAGCACATTCGGTCGCGGGTTGTCGAGAAATTTTCAGCAACCTATCGAGTAGTGAAATACTTCGTTTAACTAATCTTTTCCTCACGAGTTTCCCTATGCCGTGCATCCTGAAAAAAACGAGACACCGGTCGCCCTAAAAACTAATAGACCTCAAAAAGAGTGAAAGATTTCATGAGCTGCTGTTGAGTTCTCAGAAACCCTATGAGTAGTGGGCTGTTCTTTACTGTCAAGCCGAACTGGCGATTTTCCGTTCTGCTTGATTCACCAACCGAAAAGCTTGTACCGAACTTCGTGTCAATCATCCAGTGAGAAGCGAGTGTGTAAAACACCAACCAGGACAGTTGGTGCATTAGAAGGCTGTGGTACAAAAACACATGAACCAGAAAACTTGGAGTTCGGAGTCAAACATGCGTTTGATTTACACCCTAGCCCTGCTTGTATGTCTCTTGGTCATCGCGCAGTCAGAACCTAGGGGAAGAAGGGGCATTCACGCACACACTGTGAGTACCCAACCATTGCCTTACGATATCCTCCAGCATTAGAACTGTGACTGACCGGATAAAGTTTTCCATCAATAATTTCCTCCTTTTATTATAGCTTATTAGATTTATTTTCCTTCTTTCTATCTGTTATGATCTTTTCAGGCGGACTTTTCAAGGCGAAGTGAGTTATCGTGTTTGCAAACTAATCACAAACTAAAAGTGGACACTACAGCCTGATTGGAATAACACTTAGTTGGCAAAATGAAACCCATTCAAATTGGAGAAAACAAATGTTTATATTGGTCATGTGATCTGTTCGGCCAGTTTACTTGTGCCCAATGTGAAGACATCAAGTGGAAAACTAAAGAAACTTTCTGTGTACGAAATTCATTAGTTTGTACTGTGACATCTCGAATATCGACTCCAACTGAAACACGAGACGCCTCGATGTAGCGCATTCAGTTGCAGGAATTCATTATAGACCAAGTGGTGTACAACCGAGTGTCCTTGAAGAAATTTTCAGCAACTCTATGAGTAATATTCTGTCAAAAAACAATCCGTTATTCGCGTTTCTCATAGCTTTGTTTGACCACACTTCATTTGCAAACATTGCTTCTTTTTGTAGCATGTGTAACCTGTCAGTATCTCGTCCAATCACTGAAGAAAGTCTCACAGTACGCCAAAGAAAAGAGTCTTACACAAGATGCCTCAACAGTTGCCTGTTCTTTAACTAATAAGGATGAACATGTAAGAAAATTATATTTGTTTTTTCCTTTAAACTATAAGTTTGCTGGCCCGGACGTTATAGTGACTAGCCAACAGATTCGTTCATGTTGAACACCATTTGTTTCTCAGTTTCTCTGACTGATCAAGCGAGGAATCAACCTTTAAGAACGTAGCAGATTTTTCTGTTTGAATGAATTGTTATGTTGTCACATTGCTTAAATGGTGTTTAGCATTATGTTGTCCCCTGTAACTAGTGTTGCTTGGTTAGTTTGAAATACGCGCCAACATTTTCTGAGCGCAAACTCAACCAATAGTTTTCTGTTTGATTACTGATGAGACTACTACTTGGGTATATATTATTGCCGGAGAGAATGAGCAGCTTACAAAGTTTTGTTCGGAAAAAAACTGTCTGTTTGTTGATTAAACTTTGAACAGTGGGACTTTTCGATTAGTACACAAACACTCACGGCACAATTGCATTGAATGACTGCTTGAATGATTATTTTTGAACAAATTCACTACTTTATATCGCTATATCGCTGCTCTAAATCGCTTCCAAAGGCTTGCGATCAGTATATGCCAGGCATAGTGAATCTGGTGCACGATTATTTGGAAAGCTACGATCCGAGTGATGCGTGTCAAGTAAGTCATTTCTTCATCATCCTCTGATCAGAAGCCGTGTATCCATCCGCTTTTCGGTTGATCCTAATCAACAGCTGATGCTCGTTTACAGTATTTAATCGCGTGTAGAGAGTGAAGAGAAACAACAAAGTGGGTAAGTCGTGTTTCTGCCGAACCAGACGTCATCAATAGGCAGCAGGCATTACAAGGGCTAAGATCCGGCTAAAGGCCGCAAACAGCTTGAAGTAATCAGGTACGGCAGGTGTTATTGAGAGTCGTTTCTAGCAATTGCTATTCTCTCCCCCATCCGGCAAGATTACTTTTGGGCGATGATAAAAAGTGCTCTGTTCCGTGGAAAATCTTTCCATAGGTCTATTTTACATTGGATGAAAAACAATATTCTAAGGTAACTACTCACAAGGTCGCTGAAAACTCTTCGACAGCAACCTTGTGAGTAGTTTCCTTTGTGAAGATATACTACGATATCTCGAATATCGTGCCAACTGAATCATGAGGTGGCCTGTGTGCAGCACATTCAGCTGGAGGACATCATAAACGGGCGATTCGATTGAGTCTCCCGTGAGAACCAAATTGATTCGCAAATGAGTACATTTCTCGAAAATATTCTAAGGTCTTGTAGACTAGGTTATTTTGAACTGTATTAGAAAGCCCCGTTGGAAGTCATTTCTAATGTCCACCTTATGTTTCTTGGAGGGATTCGAATCCAAAAACTTTGTAATAATACGTGGGTACCAGATAAACCCCCAACGATCTGGTTCAAATCATATAACCCCGTATTAAGATGCTTCTCGTGCTAAGGATTCGCGCGGGAAGCTCATATTATTTTCGATAAACTATTTGAGAACTTTTTTATAATGATGTTTATTGCTTTTTAACTCATTTCAGTTCCACCCAGTCAATGAAATCGTGTTGTTTGGTTTAGTTTTTGAATATACACCTCCGAAAACAACAGTACTTAAAGTTTTGTTGACGTGGTTTGGTTCCAGACTAAAAAGCACCTTCCCAAAGAAAAGCCTTACTTAATCGACGTAGGTTCGTCATGAGTATATAGAGTTGAGGCAAAAGGGCTCCCGGTTTCGAGGATAGACGCGCTGAAAAAGCTGATGTATAAACTTTTCGTAGTCAAAATGTTTTCAGTAAACTTTCTAGTCTTACACTTTGCTTAACACTCTGAATGGGTAAGAAATGTTCAGTCACATTCTCGTAAAACGAATGGTTTTCTGAAGAGATCCAATTTTTTAGGCCCCAATAGAGAATACTTTCCGCAACACAGAGTCGCGTGTTGGTTAACTGTTAGAAGCAGACTAGGAAAAGGAACTCAAAGCGTGCTGTCTAAAGAAGGCTTTTTGTCATTTGTCTTCCGGTCAATGCAGTTACAAGATCACAGCATGCCAAAGACAAAATGGGATAGGCTATCAGTCTCTATATAACGATCAGTCTAAAAAATCAATGGCAAGATTGAACGGTCAGTAGGCATCACGTGGTTAGCTTGCCGCTCTGTGAAGATATTTGGACTGCCTGTTTGGGATCCCACAAATTGTGGTGTGTACACATAACTCTTTTGGACAGACGGAAGACAGGGCTCATTGATCTGTTGGAAGCCGACTCTGTTGTACTTATGACATGCTATTTAACTGTCTTTGACTGGTTCGCCGGAAGCTTGCGAACGATTTTTAAGACGGAATTCACATCTGCTTGGTCTCTGGTTTTACCATACGGGTCGACTAATTAGACTACTACATCCAAACTTTGACTGTCGTACGCGTTGGATGATTTAACAGCAACTCAATACTTGGCATAAGTTAACAGTTCCGTTGGGACGGCCGACACCGCAAAGTACAATTTACTGATTCTCGCTTTCAGTGACTCAGTGTTTCGCTCTTAGCTGGGACATTGGGTCAGTGAGAGTCAATGTTTGTTCTCTGTTTCACAACATTCGCGGGTGAAAAACCCATTGTGATCGACTCAGGCTTGGTTAGGGTCTTGTACCCCGCGAAAAGATGGCAAGAATGCAGAGATAATAATAAGAATGACGGTGTATAACAAAGGTAAAGTTTCATTAGTCCTAAAGATCAAAGTGCGAGAAAAATGAACGGATGTTGTTTCAAGTATTTGAAGATAATTCACCTGGTGGGGAGACAATCTGCTGACCTTCTGATAATGATGTGGTTGACTTGATAGCTTCCAGATGGGGCTACTCTGAGTGGTACACCTTGGGCTTCAGAACTGTCTGTTGGTCAGCAAGACTGCCAAACTGGTCAAAATGTGTTTCGTGGAACAGGGAGTTCTCTTGAGTGAGCACGATCATGAAAGAACGGTTGGTCTTTCTGGTATTTGTTGATATGACTGTGGAGATAGGCCAGTTATCTACGGAATGGCAGGACAGAAAATCAACAATAAAACTCAGCCAGTGAAAGCAAGCCAAATTCACGTGAAAGAAAATCAGCTGCGTGGAAATTAAGGCCCTTAGGTTTCTGTTTATTTGGGGCACCTAAAAAGCCCATCAACGATCTCACGGTCAATTGTGCTTTGAGATGAACCAACAGCCTATCTTTCATGCACTGTTGTCCATATCACTCACCCAGCCCAACATCGTCCTGGAAGCTAGGCAAACGCCTCTGCCACACCGAGCAGGTCTCTGTCTTTTGTATGCCGTTGAATGAATCTATAACGGATGGCAGAAAAGCTGCGGTGAGTTTTTCCCAACCAGCTTAGAAGTTTTTACTTGGATGAGCTACTGTAGCTCCTCTTTCATGTTATCCTTTGTTTGAAAGATTCGCACAATTTTTAAACAAACCATCGCTGGCTTTGCATTATTACGACAGTCACAAAACTCCAGATGTATCGTCTGATTCATGCTGATATAAGTAATAATCATATTCATATATGTCCTCATACTCTCAAGACAGATCGCTTGGATGCGGTCTGAGCGCTCTCCTTAAGCATCCATGATGTCTTTCACCGTCTTCCACAGTTGTGTGCAGAATTAATCCCAGAAGATTGTACTCTGGACTTGAGACACCTTCCCATGTGGTTTATTCTCCTCGAAAAGCCACTCTAGATATAAAAACTCAAAAACGTGGACGTAGAATATAAAATGGTTTTATCAAATGATAAATCGCTGTTAGCACCAAACTGAAAAGTTTCAGGTTTCAATCAAAAACAGTAATCTTCATCAGGGACCGATGAAGTTCAGATTTTGATATCATATCTTAAAAAATAAAAAGGTTTGCTATTTTGTTACAAAATGATTGCAGTTGTCCACACATCCAGCTGCTCGTAGATTGCGTTAAACTTCTTGAAAAGAGAATTTAAAAGGAAACGATCGTTTTGAATCGTTCTGTTAGGTAACATCATGTCGGAGGGAGAAGATTGCTGTGGTCTTTCTGTGAGCTTCCGTTTATGGAGCGAATTACTGTAAGACGTATCAGTCGCCTTTTGTTTATCAGTAGATCGGCAATGTTTTTTACTTAAGTCACACAAAATTGCTACTAAAGTGTCCCTAAACAAGGATAAGTCATGAGAAGAGCGCAACCGTTCCGAAGTAGGATGGTCTTTCTTAAAAAGGACTACTAATATTGACTGTACGAAAAGAAATATCAGTGCACATTACTCGGTGTGTCATGCCAACACGGTCACCCCTGGGGACGAAACTCACTCATGAGAAACGATAAAATTTTTTCCTAAATCTGAAGTTGGTATGCGAGTGGACACAGTCAATCCATCTATCAATTAAGCGTTGGCCTTTCTTTTCAATTCTGGAAGTTTCATTCACTACAACTAAATAAACGTCATACAATTTCTCGTTTCCCGAAAAGTTTGGTGACAATTGGTAGATTTATTGCTGGGCAACGTTTCACTCTTGACACAAAAGCTTCGTCAGACCATGTGATTAGGTTCCGAGGTTGATCGAGATTTAAGTCGGAAGTAGAAGCAACCAGCTAAATAGATCGGAAGA